TGAGTCCTTTGTTTCTGAAGGTGGTACATCACAATGCGTTATGGGATTCTGTATGCACTGTTTACCAAACTAGCAAAACCTACTTTAATCGTAAAGCACGGCCAAACATCTAGAGCTACTTGTGGATGGAACACAATTTGTGAAATGTACTTTTATCCCAATGAGCTATCGGATGTATACTACTTATTCTGTATGGTAAGTACATCAATTAGGTTTTATGTTTGGCTACTCCTACCAGAAGCTGGGTATCAGTGACTTGGTCAATGAAAAGAACTTATTTTACTCACTTAGATAATATGCAGGACAGTCCAGGGCTTACACAGCAGCTGCTCATGGAACCAAGTGCCTTCTCTTTCCTTTTCTTCCTTTTTCATCATGTGACTTTGTTCTCATGGCTGCAAGAGGCGCTGCTCTACCCCAGAGGGAAAAGTACAGAGGCAAAGACAAGTGCTAGGTAAGCTTCTTCCTCCACAAAATTCTCTAAAGCACCACGTCATGATTTCAACTGACTTTTCATTGGCCAGAACTGAGTCACATGGGCATTCCTGATTTCAAGAGCATCTGGGAAAGTAGTTTTACCTGAGAACACTTAACTGACTTCTCTCAATTAGGAAGAAAGGGTATTGAGAAGGGAATAGCACTGCCTACCACAAATAATAGAATTTAACTCCTGCCTTCCTTGTTCCTAACCGGCTGAACAACTCCAAGAATGCATTCCACAGAAAGAAGAGATAAAATATATTTATAAAATACAAATATAAGTAAGACCACAACATCACAACAGATTGCTACACTTTTCAAATTTATTTTAACTCACACTTTCCACATTCCATCAAAAGCACTATGCTTTCATTACCGTAGATTTACAGTTGTATTTCCACTAGGGACAGCTGTGCACATGATAGGCATTCACTCTGTGTGTGTGTGTGTGTGTATGTCGTGTAAACAAAGGAACATATCTGGCATACAATATAGCACTGTGCTGTGTAATGAGGTCATAAAATACATCGTGCCTCTTGCTGGCATATTATGGGGAGCCCCTGCAGCAGTGGTTGGGGAGTGAGTTTTAGTCTTTGTTTCAGCGTGCTTTATCTTGGTTATTGCCATTGACTGATGGGTAGATTTCTGATGACTTGGCTTCTATAGATTTTAGGAAACTTGGGGCAATAACAATTGAAAAGCTAGCCCCATTATGATTAAACATAAAAGTGCAGTGACCCCATCCTTTACGGAAAAATTATTGTTCTGTCTTCTATCCCATCCAGAAAAGAAGCCTCACTTTCTATAATTATATGATTTATAAATTTCCTACATATGAAACTATAGTATTGATTTTCAGTTTATAGGCACATTATACATAAGAGTATTATGCGACACTTCCCAATGACACTTCCCTAGAACACCTAGTAGTCTTTTCTCCATACCCTATCCCAGGTTTAGGGGGTACATCATTCTTCCCCTATCCTTAAGGAAGGGAGTTTTTCTGTCACGCTATCTTCTCAAATACTGTCTCAATAGATCACAGCATCACAAAACTAAAAATAGAGGCTACGGTAAATGCCAGAAGGAAGATTTTGCATTTCTAATACACTCCCAGCTGAGGCCAATGCTGACAGTGCCCGAACACACTTTGAGGCACTGGTTTTAAAACTTGACTGCACATTGGAGTCCAGGGGCAGTTTTTATAACTGCTTATGTTGGTTTTATCCAGAAAGTTGGATTTATTTGTTATGAGGTTTGGCTTGGGCATCAGATTTGGAAAAGCTTCCCCAGGTGATTCTAATGTGCAGCAAAATTTGAGAACCACTGCTATAAACCAATTAGAAGACTTTTTTTTCCCATAAGTCCCTCCAAATACACAATTTGGTAGACTTCTCTCTCTTTGTATGCCCCTCTACCGTTGATACTGACTTCTGGGTCCCTTTTTTTCAAGGAGAGTGCCTAGCACAGGGCTTGATTCTTGGCATGGATCAATCATGGGTTATTGACCACATCAGCTTATAGAACAATCAGTGTTCTATCGACATGCTTTGGCAAGAAGGGAGAGGTGATTTACTTTTCATTGAAAACATGGGTCCAACACATTTCTACTTACTGCAATTCCTTTGCCAGGTTTCTTCTAAGGCAGATCCATATAAAGGACTTAGAGATCTTGAGAATTGAGGGTAGAGAAGAGAGAAGAAAAGGGAGAGAAGATGACAGCAAACAGGAAGGAGAGAGAGCAAGGGAGGAAACGGAGAGAAAAAGAGGAAGAGGAAGGGGTGGAAGAAGATGAATGGGGAAGAAATGAGAAGACAATGAGATGGATATAAGAATGCTGAAAAAATTGCTAGTAGATATTCACTAACCACCATCAATGAGAGGTGGTTCTGTTGAGATCAACAACAATGACTGTTGAGATCAACAAACTTATGGTCTCATTAGGAGACACAAATCAAGTGCTTGAAAAGTTATATAAAACTATGCAATAGTTAAAGAATAATGTGTTACCAGAGATAACACAGGACACAGATCAACAAATCAGAGTTATGGGCAATAGACAGCACGAAGTCCATTTTTATCTGGGGAAATGGTATCAACCCTGTTGTAATGAATTCCTTATTCGTACTTTGCTTTATCAACTTAACATTAAGCACATAGGAGGCTATTGAAGAAATAACATTTAACCCATTTTGTATCAAGGAGTCTTTCAGGGAATTATTTAAATATTTCTTTTATGGTCATTTCCTCCAGCCTGTACCTTTCAGTATGTGGCTTATGAATGTACACTTTGAGGGAAAAAAAAAACAACTTGTAAAAATTTGCTTCTTGAAGATACCTTTCAGAGTCTCATCCACACTCCTGACCCCATGATGTACATCTAGAACTTTCTTATTAGGGTTGAGGTCTTGATACTAATAATGGGAATTAAAACCATTCAAAGCGGTGAAGGTTTGGTATCTTGTTATCTTTTTTAAGAAACATTCTTAATTTGATGTGTTGAACTTTGGCAATACAAGTCCCTTTAGTGACATAAAAACAGCCAGACTTTAAAAGATGCTGACAGATGTTGTGATAGTTTTTTGTAGCGGAGCTGAGTTCCCTGCTCTGCTGCATGTAATTAGGCATGCAGATAGAGCTTCACTCGTTTTACTAGCCCGATGGGAGGGAGTGAGGGCCGGGACCCCAAAGCTGGGCTTACTAAAAGGAAACATACTCTTTCTGTAACATGTAAATGAGTCTTGATTTCTATAAAGAAGTAAGAGTTTGTGTTTTCATTTTTAAAATTCTGCCCAAAACTAAGTTTGTGGTAAGGAAAACATCATTTCTATTAATTTCAAGCACATATAATTCATCCATGTCATAAGGAACTTGGATGGTAAAGTTGTACATGTGTGATTTAAGAACCAGCAATTTTTTTTTTTTTTTTTTTTTTTTTGGTAGGGGGGTGTCCTCTTTTTGTTATCTCTCCCCTTGTGGAGCACAGGCTCCGGACGCGCAGGCTCAGCAGCCATGGCTCACGGGCGCAGCCGCTCCGCAGCATGTGGGATCTTCCTGGACCGGGGCTCGAACCCGTGTCCCCTACATCGGCAGGTGGACTCTCAACCACTGCGCCACAAGGGAAGCCCAGAACCAGCATTTTTAGTGTCCTAGCAACATCATTAAACATAGAATGCATTGTCATGTGGTCTGGCTCTTCTGAATCCGCTCGACTTCCCTATTTTACCTTTTTAAAAAATTCTTTGTTCTTCTGTGCTTAGTACTGTGGTATCTAAAATGATAGTGTCAATAAACAAATTGCGAGTTTTCTAGGTCAAGGCAGCATCTCTTTCTTTCAAACTCTTCACATTTTCTTTGCTGTGTTTAATTGGGAACTCTGTGTCTGGCTCATAAAATCCCTGCAGAATGCCCAGACCCCTTCAACTTTCAAGTTTAAAAACACAGCCTGTCGAAGAACAAAACTGGGGCCTCTGGGGGACAGAGAGAGCGCTCTCTGGGCCTCCGTTCTTTGCAGACCCCATTCTAGGGCTAAGTCCCAAAGGCTGGCTCACATGTGACTCCCGTGTAACTTCCTCCGCACCAAGCAGGAAACACAGGAATCCACATTTCACATATGCTTGCCATATATTCTCTAGTAGAATCTCAAACACTAGGACAGAGCAGTGAAATGTGAGGAGGCAATCAAAGAGGGCATAGGAAGCCAAGGGGCCACAATCAGAATAGGGCACCTCATTTGAGGAAAAGACAATGTGAGAAACGCAGAACCACACACGGCACTAGGCTCTGATGACAGGAACTCACAGGACCTGAGCGAGGACAGAGCAACGTGGCCGAAATTCATAGACATGTTGTTCTATAAATTGGAAGGAACCTACCTCCTAGATGTGTAGGTAAGCCAGGCTTCCCCTTTCCCAGATTTATCAAAGAGGCAGTGTCCCTTGCCTAAGACCAAAGAGTTGCCCAGGAGTAGAGCCAACACCACAACCCTCCCTTCCTGTGTGCTAGTCAATACACTAAGGAGATAGTGTAGTGCAGGACACACGGATAGTGTCGTGAGGATAATGAGAAAACTTGTACCAAAGCCAATTCTGCTATTGCTAGTGGTAGCACCTTGGACACAGGATTTACACTTTCTGAAGTTTAATTTTCTAATCTATACAATGGAAGTAATAATACCTACAAATAAGCATGGCTGGTACATAAAAGGCACTTTAATATTAGCTCCTTCGTCTATACGTCACTGCATCTCATCAAGCCTAAGTTTGTCAAATGATCCACCTATGCAAGATCGCCTCCTAATTCAGTACCTTGGCCTATTTTGTCCACGAGGATACAGAATGGCCCACGTTTGACTGCAGTAACATTGCTAGTAACTGTTAATAGCATACACTGCTCCCTCCTACTGATAAGAATACATTCTACTTTCAAACTAAAATTTGATGGGCCCCCTACAGGCCATGGCAACCCTTTGAAAATAAAACTCTTGAAGTTGCAACAGAAATATATGTTTACATGATAGGACAAAACCATCTGGAACTTACTCTTACATGGATTCAAAGAGCTGCATCAACAATAGAGCTGTTATGAACTCAGGCTCCACACTGTCTCCTAAAGGAATTAGACAGGCCTCGTCATGTGTTAGAGGCAGAAAAAAGTGACCCAGGAAAGGGGCTAAATCCTTAGCTGTCATTAGTATTTTCTCATGTCAACACTGCGATCTGAGAAGACAGAAGGAACTGACTGACTTTATATACTTGTCTGATCCTCTAGCACTTCGTGAAAACGAGAATGTTTTATTTGACCCCTATGGGAAAGCAGCTCAACTGGGCAGTTTGTTCCTGAAATAAAATATCAGCCGTCAAAATACTCTTAAAGCCCCTTAGAAATTAGAACATCACAGATTTATTAGAAGGTAAGTGCCCCAAGCTTATACGTGGCTGTTAACATTGTTTTATTTCCTTTACACAAAAAGTAGAAATGACAGAAAAAAACACTCTTAACAGAAAACAATAGCACTGACCTGGTCTCATTGAGAAGCTGAGCCCAAACTGCCCATGTTATGGGGAAAGGGAAGTTCAACCAACATCAGCAAACACCCATGCAGTTGATGAAATATAAAACGGTGACAGTGGCTTGGTGAATGTCCTGTGGGGAGGTTGAATCAATCTTAAAAAACATACATTTGCCCAACCATGCTTTTAAACAGCATCTCTTTAAAAACAAGTTATATATACAAATATCACCCAAAAATGTGTCTTATATACTCTAGTGCTATAAATTTAAGGCATCCCGATAGTCTATTCTTCTGCTGGTGAGGCACTGTTCTCATGATTCTATTTCCACAGAGGACAGTCCAGGCATTTCCAATGGTATCCAAAGGGCAGCAATGAGAGATAATAAACAAGTGATTTATAAGAAGAATTCTTTTGACTCTAGCTCAGCGACGTGCTTTATGCTGTAGGATTTCTTCATTTTTCTATTGATGTCATTATGCCTAAGCGGAAGAAAAACCATAGGCCAAAATTAGATAAAACTGTGGTCAAGTTACAATACAACGCCACTAAACAGCTCACCAAAAATGGAAATTATCCTCACACAAACCACACTGAAGAGTACTTCATTCCGGTAATCAAATTATTCTCTTTTCATATAAACCACTCTTTAAACAATAAATAGTAATAACATACTTATTAATAAGTATGTTATTACTTAATAACATACTTTGTGGACACCTTTAAATTTGGCCCTGGAAGTAATTTCTCAATTATGCTGATTGGAGTCCAGGCAAAATTCTACAGTCAAGTGAATTTTATCAGAGTCAAACAAAATAGGAAGCATAGTACTGCTGGTTGAGTGGAAACAAAGAGATTTTTATATTTTATTCACTGGATTCACTGGTGACACCTTTTATTCTCCAGTAAGCTTGAGTGTTAGTCATGTAAAGGAAATGCTTTTTCTTTGGGTGTGTGATTACTGAGTAGTAGCATGTTGGATGACCACAAGTAGGTAAATCTATGGGAAAAAGAAGAACCTAGGGAAAAATAATGCTGTTTTCCCCTCAATACTTGATACCTCATAAGCCTATGGAAAGAAGTACCAGCTCAAGCTTGGGAACAGTTTTAGTTTTGCTTTTTAAGTGAATTTCCCTCTGGGTAGAAGCATTCATTTTCATGAGATATTAGTCCCATTCTGAGTATAAAATCTTCCAGGGAGGAGTTATCTTCTGAGTTTGAGCAAGGCTACATATTACTAAATTCCTTCTTGTTGCTATACCAGACAAAAACAAACTATTTCTGGGAATGGTACTCGCTCACATGAAGACACATTTGGATGGAGAACCCCAAGTGGCTTGGGGTTTTTATGGCCTCAAAATCGTACTTGCTTACAAAGACCATGTAGTCTACTAATTCTTACTTTTATTTATTCATCTGAATAGAACTTCAGAGAGTTGTTCATGGGCAAGGAAGGGAAGAGGGTGGAAGAAAAACCTGGTTGGTTAAAAAATGTTTTAGGAACTTCCAATTAAACACGATGGATTAATAAAAACATAGATTTATCATCTCTTTCTTACAAAACAACACTGAAATGAAAGTAAAGAAATAAAAAAGCATCAACCTAAATGAATAAAGGGAAATGAGAGAGGAGATGATAACACACGAAATGCCAATAATATTTCAGAAACAGAAGGATGGATCGATATGTGGAACTGACTTAGCAGAGCAGGCAGGAAAAGCAGAAATCTAAGCCTATAGTCAGGGAAGCCAGGAAACTGATGTGCACTGCATGACTCGGGAACTAGAAGTACCATGAATTTTCTGAAAGTGACAGTGGGTGCTGTGTGAGTGCTGAAAATGGGAAGATTATTTGAAACTTTTTGGCAGTAGCAGTTCATACCTCAGATTACCTTCCTGACCCAGTGCAGCCAGGTGACTGTCCCTTTCCCAATGTGAAGAAAGACTGGAGGTTACAGTTTGCAAGGCATGGACCAGAGAGACTCTGATTTCAGCTAAAGGGGCTGGAAACCATGGGATTAAGTGAGAGTCCCTATAGAACACAATTATTAACACATCTCCTGCTAGTTTGACCTACAGATTCCTGGCAATCAGGTTAATAGGCCCTAGAAGGAGACTGGAGTTTCCTTATCTTGAGAAATCAACTGCCAAAAGAAAAGTCCTACAAATACTGACAATTAGTGAGTTTCCCAACAAAAGAGCCTAGTACTTAACCAGTCTGTGTGAAGAAACATCTACCAGTCTACAAGCCTCACCCATAAAGCCAGAGCTTCTAATTGCACTTTAGTGTCTTGTTTCTAAATATGAATGAGTCAGGGATCACCAGACTTTTGAGGGAAGTGCTACTATGACAGACAAAAACCAAAATAAACAGAGAAACAGAATTCAAAGTGAATAGAGGTAATATAGGGAGGTGATGAGAACTTCAAAAAATTGTAACAAGAAGAAAAGAAAAACCAGGGAAAATGTTTGCAATTCATATCACAAATGGTCAGTTTTTATAATGTGTAATATATAAAGAGCTGCTACAAATCAACAAGAGACCAGACTCTCAATAAAAATGTAGAAAGGATTAAAAATAGTACATTCAGGGCTTCCTTTGTGGCACAGTGGTTGAGAATCTGCCTGCCAATGCAGGAGACATGGGTTCGAGCCCTGGTCTGGGAAGATCCCACATGCCGCAGAGCAACTAGAGCCCGTGTACCACAACTACTGAGCCTGCGCGTCTGGAGCCTGTGCTCTGCAACAAGAGAGGCCACAATAGTGAGAGGCCCGCGCACTGTGATGAAGAGTGGCCCCTGCTCGCTGCAACTAGAGAAAGCCCTCGCACAGAAACGAAGACCCAACACAGCCAAAAATAAATAAATTAATTCATTAATTAAAAAAAAATTAGTACATTCATACAATGAAATAATATGTAGCTATGTAAAAGAATAAAGAAGCTTTCTCTATACTAATACATAAAGACCTCCAATGTGTTAGGTGGAAAAAAGCAAGAAGACAGACTGTGTGTACAGTATGCCACCTTTACTGTAAAAAGGAAGAAAAGATAAAAATATACATTTGTATTTGATTGTAAAATTTAAATAAATTCTGCATATATAATGCCATGAAAAAGGAACAAAGAGAAAACCAACAAAGTCCTATTAGAAATTAACACTATAATAGCCGAAATAAAAAATTCGAAAGGTTGGAAGGTAAAGTTCAGTAAATATTCCAGAAAGAACTTTTAGAGAAAGCCAAAGTATGGATAAGTACAGAAGAATGGTTAGAAAGTAGTTAGAAAAGTAGAAAAAAATAGTTAGAAAAGGATTAGTCCAATGTGTTGAACATTAGAATAATAGTATTTCCAGAAAAGTGAACAGAGAAATTGGAGGGGATAAAATTTTCAAAGATATTGTACCAAACACTTCCAAGAATTGAAGTGTGTACGTTTCCAGATTTAAAAAGCGGGCTGAGTGCCCACATGCCAGGAATGAGAATGGAATCATGGCAAAATATCATGAAATCAAAACAGTGGGGATAAAGAGAAAATCGTAAAAGCTTTCAAGGGATTAACAATTACAGAGGAATTGAGCTTCTTGACAGACACATTGAGGAAAATGAAATAATGTGTTCAAGATTCTAAGGGAAAATAGTTTCCTACCCAGAATTCTATACCCAGCCAAATATTCCTAATCCATATGAGGGCAAACCAAAGATATTTAAGCCAGGCAAGGCCTCAAAAATTTTAGCACCCCCTTCACCTCCATAGGATGGGAAGATATATTTACCAAAGTAAGAGAATAAACCAAAAAAAAGAGGAAAAGATAGATTCAGGAAATAGGGCTCTACACAGGAGAGAAGCAAAAGGAATTCCCAGAATGATGTATGTGGGAAACTGCAGATGACAGCTGTGTGGCATTGCCAGATAGCCGCAGTACAGACTTGGATAAGAGGAAAGACGGTGTCTCTGTGAACAGACTGAAACACGAGAGGTACCTGATTTGTCTGAATGCACCGAAAGAAGGGTTCTGTCTCCAGCAGAGTGTTTGGAAATAAACTGTAAACTTAAAAATCAAAATTATCATCTCCAAGGAAAACATAAAGTTACATGAATAAGGAAATGTAAAAATAGTATGCTGCATGGATCCACTGTGATTAATGTTTAGATAGTCATAATAATAATAAACACCAAATACTAATTTATAACCCCCCAAAGTGATACAACTATATTGATGGTGGGAAGACGAAGCAGGTGCGTGTT